ATATATATATATATATATATATATATATATATACATACATACATACACACACATGGTTTTTTTTATGTATTTATAAGGTGATCATCTCTGACCTTGGCCTCTCAGGTCTTGTATCGTTTATTTCACCAGTATATAAACCATATAAGGTCTCTTGCCAGACAGGAAAAGCTCTCTAAATATTACCTAGGCTTTCCTATTTGAAGTCTGTGCAAATAAAACAAAATTGTGTTCACGGCTTAATCATTTTGGATGCAATGCTTAAGTCTTGATTTTCTACAGAGTAGAAAGAGAACGGTTAAATTAGTCTTCCAAAAACATGTGAATAGAAAATTCCAGAACATACTTTGTTGAATGTTTTCAAGGTATTTTGTACTGAAAAAGAAGACATATTGATAACAATTCTGTATCTAACTTTCCCATTTGCTTTTCTCTTGGCACAGAGGTGTTTATTTTTTTCTTTCCTTTTGCTTTCTAAATGGAAAAACCATCTGATTCAATCCAAACCTACAAATGCCTCTTTCTCCCTGAAACTCTACAAAAAACAAAAATAAAAAATCTGAAGTTTTTTGGAGAAAAGGTAGTGTCTCACTGGATCAATTCATTGTTGGGTGAGGAAGATGGGAAGCTCAACTCATCCTTCCTCAGCAGATTCTACCCTGACAAAATCTTATTCCAAAATTGGCATTATTTAAGTACATAAGTGTTATAGCTTCTGGCTCTCAATTCTTACAGTCCCTCCCCAAACACTGCACAATCTGACTCTCATTCTCCTTGACTTTCTGTTCTAGAACGTCACCTGACACTTAACCTGTAGTTCAGATTCTTCCACCCCTGAGATAGCTCTGCAAAAGCCCTAGTTTTCGTATCTGGCTATTTGCAGCTCAGGCTGCATTGCTCTGTTCAATTCGTCCTAGGTCCTCAGCTTCTTTCTTTTTCTAGGAACTCTTTTTTTTTTTTCCTTTTAAAATCCTAGGTTGGGGGATGCAGGAGTATAAACTATCTTCCACGTATTCTCTTGCTCCAATGTTTTCTGAAAGCATTTTCCCTTGGGGAAGTGCCTGGTAAATTCAAAATAGTTACTGTTAGTTTTCTGCCAGAAATATCCTTCTTCAAAACTTCTCTTGGCTCACAGCTCTGGTTGTGTGACTATGTCTGTCTCTACCACGTTCTTCTACTATAAGGAAATTCCTGGACCCAAACCTCTGTCAGCTTACATTACTTCCATTCGTTAGCATCATTCTACTAGCAGGTTAGATGTCACAGTGGACATTCCTAGCTAGATTGTGCCATGTTTACAGCCCACCCTCAGTGCCCACCTCCCTGTGCTTCTATGTATATCAAAGCTACCCTGCATGTAGTCTGCCTGGGTCTCAGCTGTCCCCCTGAGATGAGAGCAACTATCAGGAAGTGTTAATCTGCAGCTGTGCTTGCAAGGACAAATGGTCAAAGAACCAGTTGCCTCCTCATTTTCAATTGGCTGTCCTCTTTTTCTTTTGCACTGCCTTGAATATACTTCTTGAATATAGACCAGTTAGAAGAGCTGCCAAGCTTTAACATATTTAATCCTAACTTCTGCACGTATACCATACAACATTAGCAATTCTGGGGGAAAATCTCAGTATGAAATTTCTCTTAATGACTTCACTATTGTTAGGGTTTTGCTGGTATACAGAAGAGTTAACATAGCAAGCCTGATTGCAACGTTGGCCTTGGGCTGGTGTCTAGGAACTTGGATTTGAGGAGTGTCCCCACCATTCCCTAACTGAAAAGGGTGGCTTATTCTGCCTAGACTGTACAAACAGTGTCATTTATGCTGGACACCTGCTTTACTTCAGGGGATCTGGAATTTTGGTACATGCTAGGCAGAGTGTGTCTATATGGCCAGACCATAGTAAAACTTTGGGTGTTGAGACTCTAATGGGTTTCCCTCTAATGGGCAGAAACATTCGATGCTTATTGCTGGGGAAACACATTTTCACTGCTGAAGGGAGAGTGCACTGTGTGATTCCTTGTGGAGGGGAGGGCAATAGGAAGCCTGCCCATGGATTTCCCCAGGCCCTACCTGAGTCTTTCTCCCTCCTCATCACATTGCCATAATAAACCTTAGCCATGAATACAACTATATTCTGGGTCCTGTGAGTCCTTCCAGTGACTCACCAAACATGGGGATACCCGTGGGCACCCTCCAGATGAGTAATTAGTTCGATGAATCCCAATGTTTCCAATAGAGTCAAAGTCACTGGTGCCATCTTCCTTCTATGTAACAAAGCTACTCAGTATGTCACAGAGAGTTTAATGAAGCCACTTGTTTAAGTTCTTACTTTTTTCTTTGTTGGTGTCTCCCTTAGCTGGAACTTGGGCAGGAGCCCGAGTCTGGGCTGAAGTAATATACAAGTAACCAACACTGAGCTGAGCACTCACTTTTTCCCTTGACCTTGAACCACTCACTGTGAGTCTTAACTCTCTTCCATACAAAGTATTCTTTTCCTATGAAATTTCTCTGCCTTTCATATAAATATTTAAAAATTATTATTGTTAGGCTGGGTGCTGTGATTCTTACCTATAATCCCAGCCTTTTGGGAGGCAGAGGCAGGTGGTGGATGGCCTTGAGCTCTGGTGTTCAAGACCAGCCTGGGAAACATCGCAAGAACTCATCTCTACTAAAAATACAAAAATTAGCTGGGTGTAGTGGTGCGCACCTGTGGTACCAGCTGCTCAGGAGGCTTAGGCTGGAGAATTGCTTGAATGCTTGAAGCAGAGGTTGCAGTGAGCTGAGATTGTGCCACTGCACACCAGCCCAGGCAACAGAGTGAGACCGTCTCAAAAATTTTAAATATATTATTATTATTTTAGAGACAGAGTCTTACTCTGTCACCTGGGATGGAATGTAGTGGTTCAATCATAGCTCCTTGCAGCCTCCAACTCCTGGGTTCAAGCAGTCCTCCTGCTTCAGCCTTCTGAGTACCTGTGGCTATAGGCATGTAGCCATACCCCACTTATTTTTTTTTTAAGTTTAGTATAGATGGGGTCTCATTATATTGCCCAGGCTTGTTTTTAGATTATTTTGAATGAAAAAATTAGCGCACCACTGAGAGTTGCTAGGAAGTCCCTCCTAAGCCACACTCATCCATCTGGATATAAATCCAAGTAAGTAATCCATACCAGCACATCCTACTCACCCTTACCCTTCCAATATAATTCATAAACCAAGGTAATAAGACCTCAATTAAGGAATGGTGCCTGTTTCACAGTTCAGCATGACTAATAGCTGATATCTAAACAAGGCCCCCAAGCTGGAAGGTAAAACCCAAACATAACCCAAAGCCATCTGTGGGTGGCTCCTCTGATTAAATTGTAACAAATCCACCTTCTGTGTTCCATGTTAGTCCAATGTCCTCCCACAATGTCTGTGAGCTCCCTGGGCTTGCCTCCTCCTGAGTCCTGCTAGTTATTTTCAAATGTGAGTTCTATTTTGTTCCAAGATCATTAGGATATTTAGCTCCTTCACCAATTTCCACAAGAAAATTGATTCATTCCAATATTGAGGTTTTTTTATTTATTTGCTAGTGATTAAGGAATCCATTTATGTAACCCAGAACCATTCTCTCTACTCTTAATTTTTTCTTCTAAAATGGAAGTTCCAATTTTTTTTTTTTCTTTCTCTCTCTTAGGAAAAGCAGTTCATTTCCTTCCAGGAAATTTTAGTATCTGCTGGTATTGATGCCCAGTTTGTATTTTAAAAGTTCCTTCTAGCCGGGCGCGGTGGCTCACGCCTGTAATCCCAGCACTTTGGGAGGCCG